AAGATTTAAATGTTGAATATATGTAAAATTAATATTCCGTGTATAAAAATATTCCGGAAACCGGCCACCATATTTCAGTAAACGATTAATACGAAATGCTGCTTCCTTAATGGGTGATATTGGTGCATCATCGTAATATCTGCAATCGGAAATTTGCGGAAAAAAAAGGATTGGAAATTTGGAAAAAAAAAGGATTGATTTTGAAATAAACTTTTCTTTTGTTAAATCATTCATATTACATTTTGCATGCAGTACAGATGATTCCGGAATAAAGTAATCCTGAATGTTCCATATATGAGTACTGATCAAGTGAATAAAATTTTCTTGTCATTTCGCTAATTTTTATATTACTTTTTTTCAAGTAAACCCAATAAACATCCGGTTAATTGAATTCTTATCTTTTAACATCTTACCGGATGTTGCTTTCAAATTACACAATAAAGAATGGTATAAAGAATTTCATGTAAAAGATAGATGAATAATGTTGATTATAAGTAAAAACAAAATTTGCTTAACATCGAAAAAAAATTAATTTAATTCGGAAGCAAATTAAAAACTCAAAAAAGTTCAAAAAGTTTATTTTCATGAAACCGTTAAAATACCTTCGTAACTTTTCCGCACGTTGTTTGTAGGTAGGATTATGAAGCATTTCATGAATTAAATTAAGGAAATGATCAGTGGTGATATTGAATCGATTAATTACACGACCAAATCCATGATACTGTGCAAGCCATGAATTTCGAACTTGTTCACCGAATACTGGCAGAAAAAGTGTTGGAATTTTAGCACAAAGTGCTTCTTTCAAGCTAAATTAATAAAAATTACAAATTTTTAATATTAAATGAAGTTGATGCGAAATTTTACCAAAAGAAAAAATGGAGTATTCCAATTTAATTTGAGTTTTGATTTTATGAATTTTAAATATTAAAAAAATATGGAAAAATAAAAAGAATTGAACAAATTATTTTATTGTTACATATTTTCATCATTAAAATATTGAAAATCTATTAATTATACATTCTTGATTATAAGTTAAAATTATTCAAATTTCTTTTTAAATTTCATGAAAATTTCTTACAAAAATCAATTTGATGAAAAAGAAGAAAAAAAAGTGCTTTACCTCTTTAATCCACCATGCGTAATGAATAATTTCGATTTTGAATGATGTAATAGATCAGTTTGTGGTATCCATGATAATACACGAATATGCTTATTAAGTTTCATTGATGGACAATCAGTACATGCCCAGATTATACGATAACTTGTTAATTGATTTAGTGTTTCAGCGAGTATATCATGAAATTTACGTGGAGCATATTTTAAACGTAAAATTGTTCCAAATGCTAATATAATGGTACCATTTGATTTGGGATCATCCAAAAAATTTACCAATTTTGCATCATTTAGCTTATCATATGGCATACAATAAGCACCATAACTGAATAGCTTAAACAATAAAATTAAGTTTGTTAATGAATAAGAAATGAAAAAAATATTAAGGTGACAATGGATAAGAAATTAAAAAATTAAATTGTAAAGAGATAAAAAATTCAAAAAAAAAAAAAATAGTAAAAGATAAAAATAAATTTTCATTATATTTTTCATAGATTACATAGGATAAGAAATTAATTACCATAATCTTTCAAGTAATAGAATATTGAAAGATAACAGTCTTGGTTTAGTTTTTTTAATTAAAATTAAAAATAAATGAGATAATTGTTCTGAAAAAAAACTCCGTCATTTAAATGCTAGCAGAAATTTTTCTTAGAAAACGTTATAAATCAAAATGATAATTTGCATAAAAAAGAAGCAAAGGCTTTTTTTTGTTCGAAAAATTAATTGCTATTTGAAATTAATAAAATTAACAACCTCATTATTAAGTGGTTCAGGTACATAAAGATGTAATGGCATGTCGGTGAAGCTCATCGAAGCCGTACGACAATGAGTGGTAAAATCAAAATTAGGCACCAATGGTGCTAATGTTTTCCGCATAAAGTAATTGCTTATGGTACCAAATGATAGCCACATACTAAATAATTCATATGCTACAGTAAGACGATGAAAAAAATTTCGGACATCATAATTAGCATGCCATGAATTCATGAAATATGGTGGAGCAATCGTATATTGCCTAAAATTTGTGAATGGTTGATATTTTGTTTTAAAATAATAACAGATTTAGCTTTATTTAGGTAAACAGTAATAGTAAAAGAATAACATTATTAATTAATTATTTGATTCTTTTTTAAATTATTGGTATTTTTTTTAAACTAACGACAAATTTAATTTTGTTTAAAAAAGCAGTAATAGTAAGAAAATGGTATTATCAATTAATTATTTGAATTTTTTTAAATTAACGATATATTTCTTTTGAAGATTTTTATTTCCAAAATGGAAATAGCGCAAGAATACCTGCCAAAACCCTTTGCCATAGCGTAAAAATCTTCAACACTAGATGTATGCATAATGATATGATTAGCTTTTGATAATAATGATAAGCCATAACCACATGTGCTAAATAATGAATCAGTTAAGAGTAGATCCCATGGATATGATGCAATACGTTCAAATTCAGCTTTATGTTCCGCTAATACATAACCACAGCTTACTGATGCATAATAAAAAATTTCTGCCTAAAAAATCAATAAATTAATCATTGTAACCAATCAATTTTGCTATCTTTTAGCTCATTTACTGTTTAAACAGAAAAGAAAAAAAAGGAAATGATAAGCTTAGCATTTTAGCTAATAATCTACCCCACTTTTGTCATATTAGTTTAAACTTTGTAAAAAAAAAAAATTACCGCATCAAAGGAATTATAATCTTTGTGCCATATTTGACCATATTCTTGAGTGATCGCAAGCGGAAATGGATGATCTATGAAAATGATTGAGCGCAATTTGATCAATTAGTATTATTAATGAAAATATATCGATCATGGCTAAACATTTTCCTGTTTTTTTCGGAAAAACAAAAAAAAATGCTATTTTAATTTTAGGATTATTTATCCAAAAAACAAAAAAAACTGAAAAGAAATACTAATTAATGGAATTAATAATATTATTAACTAAATTTTTTACAGAAATTACAAAAAAATGTGGAAAAAAATATAGAAAGAATTGAAAAGATATCAAATTATTGGTATCGTATATGCATTCCCACCTCAAATTAAGAAATATTCTATTAATGAGGAAATTAATTACCAGTAAGATTGATGTACCATTTATTTAGGCCAACACTAAAATCAAGCGATTCACCATACTGTTCCATATATATCGTTACATTATGCCCTATAATTATTTAAAATTGACAAATTTCATTTTTTAATTAATCAAAAGATTTAAAAAGACAAAGAAAAACTTGAAAATTAACAACGACAACAACAAAAAAGACTAATATTTGAAGAAAAAACGATCCTTATCTTAATTGTTTAGTATTTAACATACGTTTCAATAATTTTATATGTATTTTAATTGAACCTTATTATGTTCATTAAGTTTGAAATTTTATAACACTCAAAAACAATAAGTAATTCAATCAAAAAGTACTAGTATTTATGGATCGAATATCATTTATTCAATGTTTGAATTCAATTCTTACCTTGTCGAACAAGTTCTTTTAAAAGTGGTACCATAGAACCAATATGACTTTTACCTTGCAACATTGTTGCAACTAATATATCAGCACCAATACTTATCTCTATTATCCTTACCATTGTTAACAAAAACAAAAAGAGCATCTTATCTGGAAAAATAAGGTGAATAAAAAAAAAGTACAAAAATTTTGAAAATGAGAAAACTATCAAAGATTCGTTTTCTTTTTCTCTCTCAGACAGTTCTTAAAAATAAAATATATGGAATAACTCCCATCAAATGAATAACTATTACAAACAGCAAAACAACTTTGGCATGGATTGTTTGAATTATAAAAGGTCAAAAAACAAATTGTCAACCGGTTTTAATTTTTAATTTTTGAAATATTTGCAAAGTTATGCAATATTTGACAAAATAATTTACAACATATTATATCTTGTCAAAACAATTTTTCTTTTTATCTTAAAAATTTTAAAAATTGCAGAGGTTTTTAAAATTAAAATTGCAGAAAATTGCAGACATCTTCTGCTATTTGATTTTTGTTTTACATTGTTATTAATATAGTTTGCAGTACATCACGTCTTATTACAACATTTTATCTTATAAATTTTACAAGCAGTCTGAAATTTTTTTTTCCTTGTTCACGTCAGAAGATCATTTTCATCGGATACGGTGAAGTAGCCGGAAGTGTATCGCCTATATTACAATGGTACCCCGATTGTCTGCCGAATTCAACTAATAGGTTATGTTTCTCATTGATGACATCGAAGAATTCTGAAAAGCCATTCTGCGAAGCGAAAAATGAAATTGTATTTGACATCAGAAGCTACCTCGTTAATTCTTTTATATTTCCTTTACATGGTATTAAACCGGAATTGAAATAATTCTTTTCGTCTTGTATTATATTTCCTGGATTAGACCCAAATTTAAATAATTCCTTTTGTTTTGTAATATATTTCCCGGATATGATATTAAATCGGAATTTAAACAGTTCCTTTGTCTGCATGAAATATTTCATTTGTCTAGAAGAATTGAAATGAAAAATTGCACGATTCATTGATCATAAGATATCATTCCATTGTTAGAAAGGTTAATCCATAAAAGCTACTGATCTGATAACAGCAATACAATATCAGTAATATCAGTAATTATTTGCAAAAAAATCTTAGAAACTGTAAGAACACACTCAGAAATTTCCAGTACTTTTTTTTGAGACAAACAGAAACGGCAAAAAAACAAACTTAATTAAATCATTAATTACGATAATGCTATCACAGAATTTATCGCGATAACAATAACTGTAGTAAATGATATTGGAAACCCAAAAATAAACTAAAAATGAAAAAGGAAATATCAAAAAGATTATTGATATTATCGAATCGATCTTTAATCTGATCAAACAATCCTAACGAATATCGAACAAAATGCAATTTCTAATTGATATCTAATTTTTTGACATCATTGATAACAGAAAATTGAACGAAGGGAAAAGGTCAGAAGTAAAGAGAAATTTTCTTTTTTCCTGGTAAAAGATATCTTCGATGATAAATGGTATAACAAATAAAAACAAGAAAAGGAAATATTCCAATGTTAGAAAATAAAAAAGAAAAAAGAAAAAAGAAACTCATCAAAGTTAATCAGTGACTTTTAATTTTTGAAATTTAAAAAATATGGAGAAATTGAAAAAATATATAGGGAAAGTTTCATGGTGTCCCTTACTTCGAAATTCAAATTTTTACAAAATTTACAGAATCACTAGAATTACTAAATTGTTATTACCATTAATATTATCACTGATTGATCACAAAAGTAAAAATAAATGAAAATTTGAATCATACAAAACCATTCTCTGCCATACGAAAAGCTGGTTGATTGATTGATTGATCATTTGATCGATCGGTTTTTGATTGGTTGACTGATTATTTGATTAATAACAAATTTATAAATTTAGTTGTTCAAAAAAAAAAAGTGGTGCAAATGGTACTTTTATTTATTAAACTTTTGTAATTTTAGAAGCGAAATCCTTTCATAATCTTTTACTAAATATCAAATAATGGAATGATTTTTCGTCGGTTTTTTCTTTATTTTTTTAACGAAAAACGAAAATTTTGGAAATTATCAAATAATATTAGAAATCGATTATTTGAATATTTTTTCGAAAATTTCAAAGTAAGGAAATAGAAATTTAGCAAGATTCACTTCATGTTAGCTTATTTAAATGCTATTAAATGCATAGCTCTTCCATCGTTATGATTGACAAATTTGACAAAAACTTTCCCAACTTCTCTTTCTTCTCTTTTTTTCATTCATTAGTTAATGATTTAGCTAGTGAAAATTCCAGTTTTAAAATTTGTTAATCATCCAATTAAAAATTATTCATTTAAAAACAAACAATTTAATTATCCATTTAACAACTAGTTTTGTCGCAAAATATTAAATGAAAATCGCTGTCTTTTTCTTAGGTGATTTAATAAATTCTAAACTATACAAAGTGAGTAAATTAAAATTTAGCAAATTCACTTCATTTTAGCTTATTTAAATGTTTTTTTGGATGCTAATATCAACAATATTCACGATACACTTATCAAAACGTCAAATACATAGTGACAATTTGATACGCTTAGGGAAATATAATAAGTATTGAATAACGGAAATATCGAAACCGGAAGCAGAAATACCGAAAGTATAATGATACGCATATCGAAAACAACGAAAACGTACGTGTGTACGTCATACATCGAAGACGTCATAATCCGCAAGTGAAATCATCGAAGACATCATGATAGCATATGGAAATGGAATATATCATGATATGCTTATGGAAACATCAAATAGTCAAAGAATTGATTGAAACATTGCTACAATTGATCCAATTATTATTTTGACATTAATCATTGATGCTGATAAAATGGTATCAGAATGATAACAAAGTCATGAAAATGCTGCAATGAATTTGATTTAAACGTAATGAAATATGATGAAATATTATGTAAGATATCAATAGCTTATTGATAATTTGTAAACTATTTCGCTTACTAATTGTATGATAACATTTCATAGAATATAAATGGAATAAAATGAAATACATAAATACTAAAATACAAAATGAAATCCATTTTGGAGAACGGATAAAATACTTGTAAATCATAAATCAAATTTATCAAATGTCTATCTTATATTTGGTTAAAATTAAAATTTCTTTTTTTCAAATTCATCTTTCGCTTTCTAAAATTAATATCAAGCCTACATAATGAACAGAGGGTTGTGAAAAGGACTTGTAACAAATTCTATTGTCGAATGGCTAAATTGTCGCATTGCAAAAATTGTAGGAGCAACTAAATTCAATAGTGAAATTTCAAAAATTTCATTTCAACTTTAAGAATACATGAGTTTTGCTCGTGTAAATTATCCGAATCGAATTAAATTTTTGAAACAATTATTTTGTCATGATAAAACTTGGGGAATTTTTTTTTTAAATTTTATTGGTTTTGATAAAAGTTAGAGCAGTAGAAGAATGACGAAAATATTTTATCAAATTTCATCCATGTATCATTTTCTGTCCATATGTCTTTGATCCTCGTACTTTGATATAATGATGATGAACAATTCGATGGATACATTTAGTGAATAAAAAAAGCAATGATATAATTACAACAATTGTAGCAATAATTAAAAAGATGATAATCGTTATCAGTGAAGGTAAACTCTCACATTTTTGATAAGCCGTAGCCTAAATGTAAAATTATTCTCATTTTTATGTAGCAAAGTTTTCCTGAAATTAAATATAACAAATTTTAAGAGTTGAAAAATTCAAAAATAAATTCAAAAATAAATTCGAAGGAAAAATGAATATCAAATTTGGCAAGAATAATAAGAAAATAAAAGCATTTTTTGACTTTTGTTTATTTTAATCCTTTTTTTTGTAGCATTCTTTGATTTTTCAATGTTTTCTTTTTTTTGACCTTTAACCATAAGAATTACTTTATTCCTATAGCGGGACAAGTTTGGTTAGAAACATTGATCAATCATTAGAGCTTTGATTTTTAATTTGTTTTTAATTGTCACTCTTCTTGACAGTAATCAGAAAAGGAATATTATTAATTGTTTTCTAAAATTTTTCGCTAATGAATTTCAATTTTAATAATTAAACGTACCGCGATTGTATTCAAATTTTCATTTCCTTTAGCAAAACGATCTTCAAATAATCCAAAAGTTTTTTCGCCTTGCGCAGTAAGTTTGCTTACATGGTCTTTCACCTAAAAAAGCGTAAAAGTTATTTATTTCACTACAATAATTATTTCTGTCTAAAGTAAACATAGTTAATTTAATGAAAAAATAACTAAATGCTCAGA